GCAGGGGTGACACTGAATTTTTTTTTCTTCCTTGTTGATTTTCAGGAGCACAGAATTCCCATTGATTTCCTGGGGTTCCCTGCGAGATGCCCACATGCCATCACCTCTCTTTAAAACAGGAGGTGCTTTGGTGGTGGGATGGAGTAGAAGGCTTAAGAGGCACATTTAGCACTGTCCCTTAAGGGTGGTGAGCTGGAGCTGAGTGTGCTCAGCGGGAGGAACAGGACTAACACTATTTTTGATGAAGGTACAAGCCCAGTAGTGCAGCTTGGGAAGGAACTGTTTTCCATGTGCCAGCCATTTATCCCTGGCCATGGTGACTTCCCTGGCCTCAGTTATTGCAGTGTATAAAGGCTTCACAACTGCTGATATATTTATCTTCCCATCCTCCCCATGGAGTTAGCAAGTGCTTTTACCTCTGTTGCAGAACTAAGAACTGAGATTAAGGGTCAGATTTGTTATGGCATTTAGGTGCTCAATGGGATTTTCAAAAGTAGCTAACACCCATTATAATAAGTGGAACTTGGGAACTTGGATAGTTCTGAAAATCCTGTTACTTGTGTCTTTTTTTTTTTTTTTTAATTTTGGGCTTAAATGAAACCTTGGGATCCAGAGGAGTAGTTCCCAAGTTGTGGGGAGTCACCCAGACAGGAGTATGTCTCTTCATCCACCTCCCAGGAGACTGCAGGTGGGACAGGAGCAATTTCATGGCAGTAGCTTATCTCAGTGCTGAATTCAGCAAGCTGTAACTGTGCACAGCATTGCATTTACCCTTCCTGCCCAGCTCTGGGAGAGAGGTCAAAATCCAGTCCTGCAAATACTGGAGCAAAAATAAGCAGCACCCATGGTCAATAAAAAGGGCTTATGTGCCAATTGCTGGGATGGAAAATTCAAGAGCAGGAGCAAATAATGAAACAATTTATATTCATGCAGCCACCTTTCCAGCCTACTGCTCTAAGTACAGGCTTACACCTCACCAGAAGATGGGAATCCCACTAAAAGCTCTGGAGTATCACACTGGAAAACAAATGTTGATTTTGAATGAATTATCTGTTCATCTCTAAATCATTTTCTTTCATTATTAGTCTCCAAATTGGTTCTGCTCTGGAAGGCAGAATTAGGTTTAAAAGTAGAGTGTCTCTTAAATGCCTGCTTCAAATGAAAGTGTTCAGTAAACATTGCTCAAACCCCCAGAGCATAAACTCCTCAGCTGCTTTCTCTGGCTTTGCATAGATTTTGCAGCTCCTGGTTTATGGTCAGGTGGCTCAGGGATTCATTCAGGATATCAGAAAATAATCAAATGAAATCCCTTACAAACATATGCGCCTTAAATACCAAGGAAACTATTTTTAAGATGTTCCTGTCCTCCTTTACAGTAGCATAAATTGGGACAAGAGTCCCAAAAAGATGGATTTACAGCAACATGGAGGAGAGAGAAGAGTCAGGTTCCAAGCCACAGCACGAGTACAGAGCCATGTGGGCTGCAGACCAAGGTTTTCATGACTGAAAGAGCTGCACTTTGCTGTTGTGATATTTTCAAACATTTCTGTAGTTTTAAGATTCTAAAGAGATCCCTGGGCTTTAAAGTTGTATTTTCAGCGTTAAAGGGTTGGGTTTGGGTTGAATCAGTGTGTCAGCAGGATTGCAGCTGTCTGAGGCTGTGATTTGGGGTGGTGGAGGGGGGTCAGCTCAGTGAGGAGGGTGATGGAGCAGCAGCAAAGCCCTGGCTCTTGTTGTGTCCTTGTCCCACGTCACACCATGGGCTGTTCATGCCTCCATGAGGAAAGAAGCTCTGCATGTAAGATTAGAATGCATCCAAAAATCACATGGTTTTCAAAAGTGTTTGCAAGATGCTGTTATTCCACTTCTTCAGGTGGAGGAGGGAGAATAACTCTGTCACTTCGTTACACATGAAAGAGAATAAAACTTTGGGGCAGTGTAGGCTAGGACACTCCAGATCAATGGTGGTTTATTCAAAGCTTGAATTTTAACTCAGCTGGCTGTTCAGGGGACCTGTGTGCACAGGGAAAGATGTGCAAGAAGCTCCTCCATTGATCCTCCCCCAAGACTTCCACAGATTTCCCAGCTCTCCTCTCTCTCCAGTAAAGGTGTGGGACTGGGAGGCTGCTGCTGCACTGAGCAGGAATTGAGGGCTGCTGCAAAGGAGAGTGTTTGCACTGTGGTGTCTGAGCATTGTTTTGGACCTAGGAGACTTATTTCTCGGTGGATAGAAGAGCTAAAAGATCAACAGATGAACAAATATGTTGAGACAGCCAGGACATCAAAGAAATTGGAGAGTCACTGAGATGCTGGAGAGCTGGAGAGTCACCAGACCATGTTCTTAGGAATTATTTTACCCTCAGATTACCTCAGCTGTCTTGGGGTTTGGACACATCCTCTGGTGAATTTAGCTACATGATTTAGGATATAACTGGCCCAAACTCTCTGCTGCTCCTCCTGAGGGATCCTGCCTTTGGAGAAGGAATGTGGCCTGTATGCCAGACCCTGCAGCACAGATCCTGGGGGCTTAGGGCAAGCAGAGGGTCCTTTGTTTCTCAGGGAAACACCAGCCCGTGAGGTGCACCAAGGGTGAGAGTGTACTGAGTTCCTGGGCAGAAATCTCCAGGGAAAATACGGGTCAGGCAGCTTTTTGTCCTCCATGCAATCTGCAATGCAGTCAGGCAGGGAAAAAAAAGTGATTTACAGCAGTCTTAACCTTAGGTTCCTCACACAGGAACCAGCTGAGGGGTGATACCAGTGGAAGGATTCAGAAGTTTACATAAAAAGTGGCTTCCCTGCAGAAAACAAGAAGCAGCTCAGAAGGTTTGTGCAGAGGCTGCTATCCATGAGACCAAGCTCATTCCTTAGGCTGTATATGCCTCAATTGCTCCCTGAAATTTAGATTTAGTTAAGTCAGCCAGGAAATTATGGATAAGTTTGGGGTCTTGAGGGAAAGGTGTTCAAAAAGCAGAAGTATGAAGACACTGAAAAGAGGGAAAGTCGTAACTTGAAAAGTGCCACACAGAGGGAGCTGTGCCTGTGCTTTATTGAACTGTTGGCTGCAATAAATACAGCTGAATTCCCTCAGTCTCCCATAATGCTGTCTCAGTACCAGCAGGAGTCCATTTAAGAACACACTTACATGCACAAATGATTATATATATGGAGAGCAGAGAAATTGCTGATGCAGGCAAACCCTGAGATCTGCCCAGCAGAGCTGGGGGTGGTGCTGGCTGCCCCGTGCCCAGCTTTGGTCAGTGCTGCCAGCCCAAAACTGGCAAAGCAGGGGAGCCTCTGCTCCAGCCCTCCCACCTGCTTCACCTGAGGAGACCACAGCCTCAATCTTGTGATCCTACAGTAAATAAATTATGATTAAATCAACTAAAAGGATATTCCCAAAGAGGGAGAGTTGGTTTTTTATTACCATTTGCAATACAGAGAGTAGTAAGAGACTGTATTATAAATAAGAAAGAGACAAGTGCAATAGAAGACCTAGAAATGGATGATGAACAAGGAAGACTGAACCTTGTGCTTCTGTTCTTTACAGCATTAACCCCAATTGCTGAAGGTGAAGGTCTGGCTGTGTTACAGGGCTGTAGCAGGGCTGTCAGAGGCATCTGCAGTGTATCCATGGTTAGGAGGGGCTGAAGCTCTGCAGAGCACATGGTCATGCCTGGTGTGATGTGAGCCTAGGACTGGAGACCACAAATTTTGGGGTCTTCAGCCTGATTGTTTTCATTGATTTCCTTGTATCCTTAAACCCTTCCAAACCTCACATTGTAGGAAGTCGGGAGAACTAATTTATTCCTGTTTGAACAGTGGTTTGAGGAAGAGAAACACTTGCACCCTTGCTCAGCTTTGCTGATATCCTGTTAGCACTGATTAGTGAGAAAGCTGAACCAGAAATAAGAGCAAGCTGACCTTGGGGGTGGCTTCATTGCCCCTTTTCTCTTGGTCCAGCATAGCAAAGCTGACATGGAGTGTTAGCAGATCAGATTTGTGATGTGTTTTACCACACCATGCATGAAACTTTCCCCCTGGTAGCAGATGAAAACCTGCACATGAGCAGGGTCTGAGGGGCAGCAGGGCTCAAGCAAGAGCAGGAGCGTGGAGCCCACGGGCTGTGTGTCCTTGTGTGCTGCAAGATGGGGCAGCACAGCCTGAGCCTGAGCAGAAGCTCACGGGCTGTGTGTCCCCTGTGTGCTGCAAGATGGGGATGCTTAGCAGGAGCAGGAGCCCAAGGCTGTCCCTGTGTGTTGCAGTGGTAGCAGGTGAAAACCTGCACATGAGCAGGGTCTGAGGGGCAGCATGGCTCACCAGGAGCAGGAGTGTGGAGCCCATGGGCGGTGTGTCCTTGTGTGCTGCAAGATGGGGATGCTCAGGAGGAGCAGGAGCCCATGGCTGTCCCTGTGTTGCAGGCTGGGGGGCTCAGCAGGAGCAGGAGCCCATGGCTGTCTCTGTGTGCTGCAAGGTGGGGATGCGCAGCAGGAGCCCATGGCTGTCCCTGTGTTGCAGGCTGGGGGGCTCAGCAGGAGCAGGAGCCCATGGCTGTCTCTGTGTGCTGCAAGGTGGGGATGCGCAGCAGGAGCCCATGGCTGTCCCTGTGTTGCAGGCTGGGGGGCTCAGCAGGAGCAGGAGCCCATGGCTGTCTCTGTGTGCTGCAAGGTGGGGATGCGCAGCAGGAGCCCATGGCTGTCCCTGTGTTGCAGGCTGGGGGGCTCAGCAGGAGCAGGAGCCCATGGCTGTCTCTGTGTGCTGCAAGGTGGGGATGCGCAGCAGGAGCCCATGGCTGTCCCTGTGTTGCAGGCTGGGGGGCTCAGCAGGAGCAGGAGCCCATGGCTGTCTCTGTGTGCTGCAAGGTGGGGATGCGCAGCAGGAGCCCATGGCTGTCCCTGTGTTGCAGGCTGGGGGGCTCAGCAGGAGCAGGAGCCCATGGCTGTCTCTGTGTGCTGCAAGGTGGGGATGCGCAGCAGGAGCCCATGGCTGTCCCTGTGTTGCAGGCTGGAGTCGCCCACACGCGCGCTGGTGATGGAGGCTCCCAAGGGCATCGAGATCAACGCCGAGGCCGGCAGCCTGAAGGCCACGTGCAGGACAGAGCTCAGGCTGGAATCCAAAGATGGAGAGGTGAGTGCAAAGCCCTGCAGCAAAGCCAAAGCATGGGTCCCCTGTGGAGCTGTGGCCCTGTGGGTCACCAAGCTGCTGTGAGTGGAAGCCTGGGGACACTGTGCTCTCCTGACTTCATTCCTTCTCACCCTGATTGAGCACATCCCATGCAAAGCAAGCTCACTCCGTGGCAAAGGCTGATTCATTATTTTTAAAGTGCATGGATAATAGCATCTGTTGTTCCAGCAGATTTATGCAGCTGTAAAATGCACACTGCTCCTAAATTCTTTGTTTCCTTGTCACTTTAAAACAAGATTTACTTGGCCAGCATAATTAAATCTTTTATCGTATATTATTCTATAAGAAGAGCTTAATTCACCGGTATTGATCTGGAAAGCTTTTGTGGCTGATGTTTCATTCTGGAACGAAAGGGAACATTAGGAGACACAGGTTGTTGCACTGGAGACACTTCCAAAGGGGAAGAGAGAACACTTAAAGCTGATAACATAGAGCAAAAGTAAAGTAGGTGATGAGTTAAGCCTCTTCTGGTGTCACAAAATCATGTGGGCACATGGTTTTGATGGTTTTCTCATCCCCTCCTCCTGCCACAGTGATGGAAGGCTCCAAAGGATGAGGCTGAGGAGCTCCCAGAGGGGAAACCACTGAGACCTTTGTCAGGAGGAGCTGCCCATGGAACACAAACCTCCAGGCAAGAGGCCTCCCACATCAGTTAAGATTTACCTATCTTAGTGTCAGGGGTATAAAATAGAAAGACTCTTTAATTGCAGTTTCTGTTATTTCTAAACATTTGCATTTTAAGACAGTCCAAAGCTAGACCATGGGTGTTAAGAAAAAACTTCTGGAAAATACCAGAAAAAACCCCAACGTAATACACTGAGATTGAAATCCAAGGCATTTCACAACTTCAGGCAGTTGCTTTCAGTACTAAGATGCTTTTAAATGCATAAATTGACTTGTATCTTTCAGGACATCAGATGGGTGGATACTAAACTAGGAGATTGTTACTGTCATTGCTGATATTCTCAGTCACCCTGTATTATTCTGGGGTTCAGGTTATCTTACTGTATTGTGGCTGATGCCAGAGCACTCCCCTGCAGCTGCCACATGTCTAAGAGCTGCCACATGTTGTTTGCCTTATGTTGTTTTGTAAGGAGGAATTTAGGACTGTTAGAACATTTGAGTTATTTTTAATAGACACAAAAGTGTTACACATATACATAAAATATGCATAAAATATACATAAAATATACATAAAAGTCAGTGCTGGGAGCCTGGAAGCGTAACTGGCAATGGGATCACAGTGACAGAGATCCTGATGGAGGAGCAGGGTGGTTGGGTGGGTGTGAACCATCCATGCTCTCCATCTGACAGTGGGCTACCTCTGGTTGGGTCAATCCAAACCTGGGATTGGATTCCTGGAAGTGTTCCAGGAAGCTATAAGCCAAGGAAACACGGTGGGTACATCAGCAGAAACAAACTGGAGGTCGTGGTAAAGGCAGATAATGTGCCCACACAGATTTGTATCAGACTTTCCCATCCTAAAACACTTCCCTACCCAGTTTTTGGAGCAGCTGAGCTGTCTGGAAGAATCTTCTTTAAACATAGAAATCTGAAATAACAACTCTTTCTTTAAATCAGAAATAACAGCTCCCTGCTAATTATCTCTTTTTTTTTTTTTTCTCTCTCTCTCGCCACCACTGACTCCAGATAACGTTGAATTCTGCAAAAATCAAACTACCTAACTTGCCTCAAGGATCTTCCTCTTCTGCAGGGTCCAGGCAAAAAATCTACGAGCTCTGTGTGTGTCCCAACGGGCGGCTGTTCCTGTCTCAGGCAGGCAGCAGCTCCACCTGCCAGATAAACACGAGCGTCTGCCTTTGAGAGACAGTTTGCAGAGGGGCATCACAGGCAGCACAAAAGCCAGTTCTGGTCTCACAGATCCAGCTGCCAACTATTTTTACTAGAACACAGAAAGCCTATCAAAGACTTTTTTTGTGTGTGCGCGCGCGTGTGTGTGAATATATATATAAAAAAAATATATATAAGATATATATATATATCCTCTGTGTAAAATGATGTTTCAGTACAAGGAATCCCAGGGTGACCCTGTTACATTTGTGTAGCATTTCTCTTTCCCACACCAAAATTTACTGGTACAATCTGCTGAATTGGATCTGATGCTCCCCTGGACCCTTCTGTATTAAGACAGTGCAATGATCACCCCTCGTTTTTGATCATGTTCTCAGAGCAATGGGATTGCTGGCTGGGCAAGACCCTGGAACCAATGCAGACCCACCACCATCCAAAGGGAAGAGAAGCATCTCTGATTATTTTTGTGCCTTTAAATCGGTGGCATGAAAAAGAAATAATTTCAAAAACAACAAAGCAGCCAGATGTGCTGTGCTGATCACCTGCAGTGATCCAAGATACCTGAGGTTAAATTACTCTTTAATTAAATTATCACCTGAAGCATGGCTCCCTGTTGGGAGAGAGGGATGCACTTGGCTAACAGGAAAGTCCAGACCTTGCTGAAATAAGAAATGTGATTTTCTGAACGGGTTCAACACTTTCCTGTGCATGGCCAAGGATGCCTTGTGCTATTCAGGTGTGACACACCAGGTCCAACACTAACCTAAAATCATCTCTGTGCTGGCAAAACTGGTGTTGTACTTAGTTGTTGGAAAGGAACAAACTTGTGAAAGTTGGACTAAGTAGAAAAATTCTGAACCTCTTTTGCCAACAGGTGTCCTGGATCACCCTACAAACTCCCCATTAACACCTTCAATTTTGAACATATTTGGTGTGAAGGTGTGAAGATTTAAGAATCAGACACTGCCTAAATATCTGTAGAAACAGAGAAGATCAGCTAGAAACTGAGAAAATCATAAAATTAAGTATATAATGTAGATGCTACACCAGAATTTTTGTCATCTTTCTTTTCAAGATACACAGTCCAAGGTCACTTAGATTTGGTGGAAACTGCAATTATCAGAGATGCTGAAAATTAAAGGGTTTTTTTTAAGGATTTATAAAGATTGTGACAAAGCCAGATTACTGAAAGGAAGGGCTTTGGATGCTGGTTCCTCTAGAATTTGAGTCCCCAAAACTCTGTGGTTGAATCTTATCATGGTTGCATTTTTTCCTTATTTTAAAGTCTAAGAGTCACAGGCAGGATGAAACACAAAAATCTGATCTGGTAACATTACTTCCACTTTTGAAGTTTTGGAAAATAATGATAAGAGCCCAGATCATTGAAATCTGACCCATAATTTCATCCACATGTATGTAAAAATCCTTTAAAAAACCAAATATACCAATTAAGGCAAAAATTTCCAAGTTACAATAAATCTCAAGAGGGCAGCAAGGTTTCTAAGCCACTGAGATGCTTTTGAAATATTACCTCATGTGCAAATAAGACAGATCTGTGCTCATCTCTAGTGATATCTAACCAAAGCTGGTATTCTTCAAGTGATTTTCAAGATAAAGCATAGCTGACAGAAATCTTTAGAAATAATTTAGTCAATTTCCTTTTTTTACAGCTTTTCACATATTTTCTTGTGGTCTCGAGAGTACCAGGGTTTGATTTTTTTTTTATTTTTTTCTTTTTAAATTAACAATTCTGGCTTAATCCAAAACTGATTGGACTCAGAGAAGATTTCTGTGGAGTTTAGATTAGATGTGTTGCTGCCTGACAAAGCAGCACTCCCAAAAACATTTATTCCTGAAAGAGGATTGAATTCTTTCCTTTTATTTCAATAATGCTTTCTGATAAATCAACGAATTCAAACTATTTGTTAATGAATGATTCCTGTAATTATTATGTTTTGAGTCAACATTTGAATGCAAAGGGTCACCCAGGGTAACAATTGTATTGGGACACAGGACTGTACCATCTCTGTTCAAAGAGGGGAATTGTGCCTATGCCTTAAGTCAATGCACTCAGCAAGGAGAAGCACATCATATTTATCTTGTTATTAAATCTAGTTTATTTGGGGGGAGGGACAGGAGGGTGTCTTGGGAACTGGTTGTGCAACCTAAAACAGATATTGATGAAATACATTAAGACTGTAGGGGCACCTAGAATGATACAGACCTTTTTTTTTTTCTTACCATGTTAAATATAGCAAAATACTGTGTATGTTACCTCTGGGACCATGACTGAAGTCCCATTCATAGTCCTACATTTACTGTAGATTTTTTTTCCATGTTTCATTGAATACTGATCACAAACCTCATAGCAAGCATGGCCCAATCCATAACCAAATCCTGTGTGAGCAGTTGGAAGACACGTGCTGCAGGAAGAGTTCCCTGACAATGAATCAGAGTAATTCCCAGCCCAGGGGTGTTCAGGGGGGTGAGGAAGGCAGGGCTGAGCCCACCAGGGATGCTGCATCCTGATTTCTGTGCTCCAGTCTGATCACAGCAGTGGCTCAGTCCTCATCCCTGTGCCACCCTCTGGCTGCTCCCAATTTCCATCCCAACAAATTAATTTTGAGTGCTGCTTTTCCCAGCTGGGCTCTTGGATGAGGTTATCACCTTCTCATGTCACAACAGCCATGACACTGCTAAGGACATTCATATCTTGGTGTAAATTTCTGCTGGGGAGCTGTTTAGGAAATGACCTTAACATCTGTGCCATCACTGCAGATGCTTCTCTAAGGTGAACAAGGGGTACCTTAATTACATCTCCTGAAAGAAATTCTTATTTCAATATATTTTACCACCATGTTTCTGTCTTAAAAACCATAAAATTATGTGTTGTGTTGAAATGTGAGGAATTGTTTCTAGAAAGAATTAACCCCTGTAGGAACTTGGAGATCATTTGAGCACCACTTCAGTTTTGAGACAGTGGTTTGGGTGATGCTGCCTATGCTGGTCAGCAAGTGGCAAACATAAACACAGGCTGGGCAGAGAGTGGGTCAGGAATATTTCTGAGGAGAAGGCCTTGGGTTGTTGGTTGAGGAGAAGCTCAACATGACCTGAAGTGCACTCACAGCCCAAAAAGCCAGTCCTGTCCTGGGCTGCATCAAAATCAGTCGATGGAGGGGGTTCTGAGCTCTTGTGCCACCCCATCTGCAGTGCTGTGTCCAGCTCTGGGGTTCCAACATCAGAGGGATGGGCACACATTGGGCTGAGTCCAGAGGAGACCACAAAGATGCTCTGAGGGCTGGTGGAGCCCCTCTGGGAGTGCTGGGGGTGTTCAGCTGCAGAAGAGAAGGCTCCAGGGAGACCTCAGAGCCTAAAGGGGCTCCAGGAGAGCTGGAGAGGGACTTTTTACAAGGGCAGGGATAATAGGGCATGGAAGAATGGCTTCAAACTGACAGCAAGCAGGGTTAGGTTAAATATTAGGAAGAAACTCTTTGCTGTGAGGGTGCTGAGGCCCTGGCACAGGCTGCCCAGAGAAGCTGTGGCTGCCCCATCCTTGGAAGTGGTGGATGGGGCTTGTAGTAGCCTGGTCTAGTGGAAGGTGTCCCTGTCCATGGCAGGGGGCTGGAACTGGATGGTTTAAGGTCCCTTTAATCCCAAACCATTCTAGGATTCTGTGAAAGCAGAGCAAACAGGACTGTGTCTCAGATCCCAGGGGAAAAAAAAACAGGCATTTTGTTTAAGCTGCCTGCTAACACATCCAGCCATCTCACACTCACAGTGGCTGACTCTCCTGTTGGAGAGAGTGCAGGAGAGTCCCTTCTCCTCCTGCCTTGCCCCGAAATCCCTCACAGTGGGATTCCTCCCTACCTGTGTGGGCTGCTTTCCCCTGAATCCACTTAAAGCAGAGCTCTCCCCTGACTGGAATTTCATCCACGTGCTCTACCTACCGCCGATAAAATACCAGAGACAAACCAGGCTTTGTGTATTTTGTTGTGAATCGGGCCTGAAGTTTAGTTCAGTGGAGCATTTGCTGTGTGGGAGGTGGGGTTGATCTCAAAATGGAGTTTAGTTTGTGTCTGCTGAGCTCAGTGGGAGGGTTGGTGGTGACTTCATGGCCTGAGCCTGAGCTGGGCAGGTGCCAGCTGGGGACAGTGGGAGCACTGCCAGCCCCTGGGGTGGCTCTGGGGCTGAACCAGAGCCTGCATTGCAGCTGTGAGCACTGAAACCCCACCCAAATGCTAATCAGGGGACTGTGGCAGCAGTGTCAGTGTACCTGGGGCAGCCATGCAGGAGTCATAAATGCATTTATGTGTGCTGGCTCTTTATAGGACTGCAGGACCTCGTCCAGTTTGCTGTAAATGTGACACTTTAGGAAAAGGTCAGGAGAAGGACAGCCAGTGCTCACCTGTGACAGGAACCTTTTCCATGTGTAGTGTGTGACCCTTCTGTCATGGCTGAGGCAGGATGGTTCTCCTAAAGCAAAAAGACTTTGCCATTAGCAAAAGCAGAGGTCCTGAGAAAGGCTGTACATCTGTAACCATTCTCCAAGTTTCTTTGAGGTTTTTTTGGCTGTTGGTTTGTTTGGGTTTGTTATTTATTTTGAAGCATATTACCCCATGTTTAAACAGTACAAAGAAATGTTAACAGTAGAGGAAGTCATCAAAAGGGGGAGCCAGTAACTACTACAATATGTATAAAGCCTCTCCTGAGTATTCCTTCTTAGAAGACTGAGTATGTGCAAGAGTGATTTGTACTTGCTTACCTCAGTCATGTGCTAACAGCTGTGTTTTGGAAGGGTTGTGATATTTATCTTATGATAAATATCACATTGCACAAACAAACTTTGAAGGCACAAGCCTAAAAATCTGCAGTATATGGTACAGAAAAATGATGGCTAAATAAAAACCCCTCCCTAGAAAGTGCCCCAAGGTTAAAGGGAGATTCCTGTGGAACTTGAGAAGGCTAACTCACATCACAACCTAGTGAAAATTCATTTTGCTGTCATAAGATGCACACACATACACACACACTCTCATATACACTTGTTTACAACAAAAGCCAATTTTCTTTTTGTTTGTTCTTATGGCTTTAAGTTTCATATTGCAAAATAGAGTGAGACAAAGACCAAAGACTTCAAGAAGTTCATCCCTCTCTGGTTGCCCTCATGCCTGAAATACATTAACTTTAATGGTGCTTTTTCTGAACTGGGTAGGAGAAATGCAGGTGTACCATAAAGCTGCATTTGAGAGAATAAAGTGGCAGGAAGGCTCTAACTTGGTTAACGGGGAGAGGAGGAAATAATGTGAAAAATCTTGAAATGTGTGCAGAGGGCAAGGTTACCTGAAATCTGAAATGTGGAGAAATAGCCCAGAAAGCTTAAAGACATCATCCTGGACTGTAAGTATAAATAAACTGAGTAAATGGTGCCAGCTGTTCACTTGAGCATTAGCAGGGCAGCAGCTCCAGTGGCTGCTTTGTGGAGAACAGTAACTGCTACAATGATTTCATTTTAGAAGTACCTACAGTAAAAAGAAAAAGAAAAAGAAGAAAAGTTAGAGGCTGTGCTGTTTTTTATGGCTGACATTTTAAATTTTGAAATGTCATCATCCAGAATTCACCCCAGCAAGCACAGGGCATGTTCCTGCCAAGCTTTGCCAAGCACTGCTTTGGTGCTTTTTGAATGTGAAAATACCAGCCTTTTTATTGCCCTGGATGCTCAGGAATGTGATCCTGGCAACTGTTCCCTTTCCCCCATGTTAACCTTTTTTTCCTCAGCTCTGAAATTGCTGTGTAATGTTTTGGTAGCTGGCATCCTGCTCCCAAATCCAGTAGCCCCCAAAACCCAAAACCTGCGTGTAGCAGTGGCATGACCATAAAACTGGGACTTCCAGGTAAATTCTGCCTGGCAGTTGCTGTGTATTCACAGCTGATGTAGCCAAGTTTATGTCTGTGAGTGGAGCAGGGTTAAACACTGACGTGGTGCTGAGGTTATTCAAGCAAGAGTGGAGTGAATTAAACAAGGCAGGTAGGAGGGAAGGGGAAGAAATGGGGAGAGACATCACCCTAATCACAGTAATGCAGTCAATGTCTCTGTCCCTTTGCACTATTATACTTTAAATTAATAACATCCATTTTACTAAATATGGTGGAAATTATGCTTGATCTTTTCGTGGAGCTCAGTGGAATTACTGTCACTGAAACCACTTAGAGCTCGGGCTGTTCAAGATTGCTGGGGTGTTGTTTCCATCCACAATAACCACAGTGGCTTGGGGCTTGGATGGAAATTATAGTGAATAGCTTGTATTTAGAAAGCTTTTAAGTCTGCTGTGGTTGAGAGGCCCCTGGTTATGCACATCCAGCCCTGAGGCTTTATCATTTCTGCTTCTCTTGTCCTGCCACTTGAATTGTATTGTGCCCTTGTGAAAAGCGATGCACGGTATAAAGAACACAGGAAAAGATGGATATTTAAAGCTGCAGGATTTTTATCTGCATCGAAGAAGGAAATACAATCAGAGTGCCCCACTGAGATTTCCCATCCAAATCACTTTAAACTAGAGGTGCAAATCCCTTAAAAATTGATTTGCTACAAGTGTCATTCCTGCAGCAAAGTTAGCACTGGTGTCTCTCCTAGGAAATGTCTCACCTTCTTGCAGCTGGAAGCCCTGTGGTGGCTGGGATTTTGTGCCACCAGTCAGGATGATGGGCTGCCTGTTTCACGTTTCCTTTGAGGCAGCTGATCTTCATGGATTGAGCTTTTGTTAGCTTCTAACAGGGATTAAAGAATACGAGGGATAAGTCCACTGTGAACTGATATGTAATTGTATGTTTGCCTCATTTAGTTGGTTGAAATTTTCCACCAGGAAGAGAAAATAACAGGAGCAATTTCTGTGAAAACGTTACATTTACATTGTGCCACCAAATGCTTCAGATAAAAACATGCAGCTTTAGCTAAACAGTCTTCTCTTGATATTATAAAGGGCTCTTTGGAGCCTCTCACCAGGTCCTACCCAAATGGAAAGTTTTACCATTTCTAGCATATTTGTCGTTATAGGAACAGGCCCATTGCAAAGCACAAGTCATGTGCATCTTTGCATGTAACAGGAATTTCAAATTGCATTGTACTCTTACATTTTTTCCCCATTCAAAGGCTTAACCACTGATAGGAGATAGAGCCCTCTGAAACCTTTCCTGCTAAATGCATTATCTCTTCCTAAAGCAATGTATGTCCTTTGGTCTTTCAAAAATTTCGTCATAATGGAGTCCTTGAAACATCTTGAGGCAGGCTCACTCTGGAGAGCAAGAGAGCAATTATTTGTGGGTGGTGCTATTTTTGCTGAAGCTTGGATTGTAGCTGAAAAAAAAAATGTTTCTGTTAGAGCTTCTCCCACACTCCCTTAGCTGCAGAGCCCACCAGCCCCCCACACCAGGGCTGGATCTCTCCAGGGTGGCTGCCTTAGAGCGGGGAGTGACCTCCCACACCAAAGCACAGCCTGATGATTTTGTCTTCAGCTGGGTCCTCCTCAGCCCTGTGCACTCTGTCACGGATAAAGAGACACTTGGGCAGTTTTAGTGCTCTGCAGATGGCACAAGGTGATGTGTACCTGCAGCCTGAGTGGATAAATGATGCTGCTCGTTGTTGGGTGCTGTTCTCACAAGCCTTTGGCCAGCCTGAGAGCAGTAACTCCTGAGGGCAGGCACTGCTGGAGGAATCCACTCTCTTGTCCCTTTTTGTGGGTTATCAGAGCGAGTGAACAAATCCTGCAGAGTAAGAGTGTGCCAGAAACCTCAGAAAGGGCATATCTGAGCAATCAGTGTCCACTGTGTTTGCCAGAGAAGGGCTAAGTAGACAGCATCCACTCCTGGATTCCTCCCTAGGCCAGAGCTTTCCCTGAGCTGTGACCAGACCTTGGTCTGGATCTGCCCTGTTTGGTGGTTTGGGAGCAGGGAAGGGACTGACCTGCTGGATCTGGATGTTGCTTGTGGCTTTGTTTGTTTTTTCCCACCCCATATTTGAACTAGTTTGCCAATAGAGTTGTCAGTATTCACCCAGAAAAGCTCCATATATGTAGAGCCAGCAGCAAAACATTCAGTGAGAGTCAAAGGAAACCCTGTTCATCTACAGCAGCAGCAGAAAAGGCATGACCCCTGTGCTACAGCAGTTTTCATCTGTGATGGGAAAACACCTTGTCTGACTTCTACTCTGAAAACCACCAATGACCTTGATCGTGTAAACAGGACAAAATGAATTTAAAGTCTTATCACAGTTCTCATGATGAAATTCAGATTTGTTTGGCTTTTTTTTTTCTTTTTAATTTATGTATGTGTGTGGTTGTGTGGGAAAATATAAAGCTTTTTTGTATCAAATAACATCAATCCTTGCACACTCTATGCAAAATTTTGTAAGCATTGCAATAATGCTATGAATTACACAAGGAACTATTT